TTTTTTTTTTTTATATATATATATATATATATATATATATATATATATAAAATTTTATTTTTTCAATTATTTTATTTTTAATAATGTGCCTGTTAGCTCTTAGATTTGATTGACTGCCAGTGCCAATTGCAATCTAAACCCTTTTATCCAGCCCTGATTTTGTGTTTTATTTTTGTTCTGTGCTGCTTTGAAGAACGCTTGCAGCGGCCCGGCTTTGATAATAATTGCACAGGGGTGACATTGTGCCTCCGTTCTGCACAGGATTAAATGGCATTCATAATTTATATGCAGCTGCCATGGAGTGCACGTAGGAGATGTAGAACCAATGCGGCTTGCTCTGCTTCCTAATGCACCTCCAGCATGGCGGCTCCGGCAGGGCTCTTGCTGCATGTGCTCAGGCTGGTCGCTGGCCTTGGTGCTGAATCCATTGTAAGCCAGTCTTATGTTTTCTCCCGTCAAGGTTTTTTTTTAATGGGATTACCTATTACAGGCGCAAATCCTACTTACAATTAGGGTTTAAATCTGTTTTTTTTTTTTCTTTTCTCTCCAAGATTAAAGCGGAACAAGCAGTATAAAAAAAAAACACTTATTATTCCATTATGTATGCATTAAAAAAATGATAAAATGTATTTTTAAAACCTGTTAGCTTAATGATATTATATAACACTCCTATACTGAGGTTAGGTGATAAATCTCTACTGCATTGAACAGCCCCGTGACCCTAACATATTTCAGGCTCTAGGAGGAGTTTTTATAAAAGGGGGGAGCACAGTGCTGACCTTACCATTGGGGTAAGCTGCTTATTCATGGTGTCAGTGTGTAGGAGTAAAGACGGAAGCTGCGGGGTCTGGAAGGATGTATCAGCCGAATACAACGGCGGTGTCATGTGAATCACAAAATTGGTGGAGAACATATTTTTTGCCTATATTTTGGCAGGAAGAAGAGTTGGAAGGTGCGTTTAGCTGGAGTTCTGCTTTAAGACTTGCCGCGTGTTATTATCTCGCAGTCCTGTACAGATTTTCCATCTTGTGCCATTCAGAAAATGCATCTAAATCCAACAATGTGATATATTGCAGCTTTACCAGCGCTGAGGCCCCGTTCACACTTACTTTACACGTGAATGTGCGGCGCATTTTGCCACATTTGCCGTACGCCTGCAAAGGGCAGCCCATTCATTTCAGTAAGTTGCCCTATGCAAAGGAGCTCATGCAGCAGTTTGAGATCCGCTCTTTGACTGCACGTTAATGCGTGTGCTAAATGCGGACAAGGCCTGCGATCTGCTGGCTGCATTTTTTTTATCACCCGGTGATCCTACCAGTAACACATTTCCTGTCCTAGGGTGACAACGCATTTCCATCCTAGGTTGCTCTCCTGATTTGGACTACAGAACACCTCCTCATCTACATGGGGGGGAGGGGAGACCTGTAGTTCACAGAAAATAGCTAAGAAAGATCCTAATATGGTTTGAGAAGTCACTTCAGTGCACAGGAAGCTACTAGAACAGCGGGTTTCTGGCAGGATTAACAGGTAGTTCTGTACTTGCTGAAAATGTACATAGCTTAAAAGAGGAAAACAACACATATAAGGATTGGCAAGCTTATATAT